AAAGATCCTTTAACCCCCCCCCCCCCCCCCCCCCCCGGTGCCTCGCCACTTGACATACACTGCTCAGTACTCCGACGACCCACAAAACAACTCAACGCAGCAAGCACCGGGAAAAAAAATCAAGAGAGCACCCACGAGCTATATTGGCCTCAAGTCGTTTACAGCTCAAGACCAAGAAAAGAAAAAACGAATAAACCCGACTTACTACCATCACAACCATCATCACCATCGCCGCTGAAAAATTGTAACCGGAAAACTGATTCCTTGGCTTGTGTTGAGTCGAGCGACTTTATTTTGCTCCTCGAAGCTGCCGTCGATGTTTTCTTTTTCTTTGGTCTCGACAATTTGTTCTGTATTGGCCCATGTCCGTCTCCGACTACACAGGCTACTTCCGTGATACTTCTTCCATGAAATCTACTAGTACATGGATACTTTCAGACGAACAGCTCGAGGTGAGTGCGTCGGTAGGCGTTGTTGCCGTCGTCAGTTAGGCGGGGGTAGGCAGGGGTAAGGGCGTCGGCGCCCAGGATGTAGAGCGAGTTGTACAGCTTCCAGTACACCTCGCGCACCCGGCGCGCGGGGTGGAAGAGGCCCTGCAGCACGTACTGAAGAATCCGCGTCACCCCCAGCGCGACGGACATCCCCTACAAAAAATGAAGCAGCAGATAATACACAAGAAAAAAGGGAGGACAGGAAATCAGCGTAGAGGAATGGTAAGGGGGGTACGCGAAGTAACAAACGATCAAGCAGATCATATCTAAAGCACTTCCTTTTTCGCTGTTGTGTTGGCTTCATTACCAAGTCTCCGTCCAGTAACTCATCGTCTTCCGGACGACTGAATCCAATCGTTGACGGACGAAATGGCGTGGTGGTGACACAATTCGCACCAACATGCAACATGGAACAAAAGAAAAAGTTTGGCCGACACAAATCGCCAAGACACTCATTCTCAAGAAGTTCGTGTACTGACCAAAAATCCCAGACGCCACGAAGCAGTACACTAGGCCGAACTACAAGTTTCAGAGCGCTACACTCCCAATCACAATTACAATTACAATTACAATTGAGTGTGGCAACGTTTCGGTGCAGAAAGAGAGACAGAAAGAGAGACAGAGAGACAGAGAGACAGAGAGACAGAGAGACAGACAGGAAGACAGAGAGACAGACGGGGAAGCCAGACAGATAGGGAAGCCCAGCAATGGTGCAAAGGACAAAATACATCACTGTACCTATACCGTATTATACTCTGATCACTTATCATTCACTTATCATAGCATTATACTATAGTTAGTATAGTACATACCTCGATCGCCTCGAAGACCGCGTTGATGACGTGGGGGCTGGTCTCGAAGATGTTGGGCCACACGAAGTTCAGCAGGTGCACCAGGGCGTCCTCACAGCCAAGCATCGCCACGCCGAGGGAGAGGTGCTTCACTGTCGTACACGCCGTCTGTTGTTGTCGTCGTTGCCATCGTTTCACGGATGGTTATTTAGTTTTCATTGCATCGTTTTGTGTTCGATCGTGGTTGTGGGTTGTGTTGCTCGTACATACTGCGTGTCGCAGCGCCGGGAACCGCAAAATTGAGTAACAGGCAGCAGCGAGAGATAGGTTATCGGAAGAATGAACGTGAATGAATGAATGGTTGGGGGAGGGGGGGAAGCAACGACGAGAAATCCGCATACGCATGTACGCACCTGGACCACTTTCAGAACAAATACGAAACCCCCTCGGAAAACCGCTTGTCTGCGTCCCACAGAATAATGTTCAAGACTGAATCACTTTCCACCAAGGCGTTCTACTGCCCGCTGTTGGGAAAAGAAAAACAGTCAGTACACTTGAAAGAGTCTCGCTCACGCCTATTTCTTGTTTCGTTTTTGCGCCTCTCCCTCCTGAGGTACAGCAGACAGTATACCGAACTTTCGCATTCGGTGCGCGAGAGCCTATTGTATAGATTAATAGATTAATAACGCCTTCGGGCCGGGTCGCGTCTTGTTGCCAACCACCCTTTCGCTTCTACTACCACAGCGCTCTCGTCGTGTGTTTCTTTTTATTGTTTGTCCACGTCTGTTCATCTGGTCGATTCTCCGTCTTTGTTCTTTGTGATCCCTGTGCGCCTTTGATGACCTTCGTTGGTGGTACAATATCCCCTCCTTTCTTCTCTCGTTGCTGCTTCTCCTTGTTTTTATCGTCGATGATGATTTCACTGTTTCTAAAAAACACACAACAGAATATAATGAGTCCGCGATAGATTAGCGATGAATTCATAGTGTTGTATCATGACCAACTTGTCTTGTACATCTTGCCTGACGGTGAACCAAGTCACGGTCCATGAGGGCGTCTTCCAGCAGCGGCGCCACGGCGTAGATGTAGTCCTTGGCCATCTCCCCGATGTACTCGAACATGAACGATAGGGCCTTCGACGACAGCAACAACAACAACAACAACCACGGAGAACTGAACTGAGAGTCGATCACCAACATGAAAGGTTCGGTTCGAGTGTCAAGAGCGTTGTAGGCAGCGGTGGCAGCAACGGCAGAAACAATCACACAACGAAAAAACGAGCGTCGATCACACGACTCTTGCGCGTTCGGAAAAGAGGTGTCAAAAGCAGCGGATGGTTTCCACAAAAAAAAAAAAAAAATGTGCGGAACACGACACGGCGTCGGAACGAGACCTGCTTCAGTGCCACACATAAGCGGGGCAGCGAGCAGGCCTCCTCTTGTAGCAACAGCAGCAGCAGCAGCGGCAGTCGCTGCGAAGCCTGAACGCCTGGAAGGAACTATACACACGCAACGTCACGGGTTCTTACCTTCAGGACTCCGTTTTGAACGTTGAGCTCCGGCACTCGGAACTCGTTCATCAAGGCTGGCACCACCGTGAAGGGAGCGCAGGTCTCCGCCACGATTGCGATCGCTACGGTCGTGCAGACGCGGTTCTGACGCTCCTGGACCTGCGTGTGTGTGTTTACCAAAGGTGGAGGCCAAGGTATGTTTCGGGCAGAGAATGCGGACACAAGTTGAGTCTAGATCGAGAGGTTGACGCGTGCACCAGTAACCAGAGAGAGCGAGAGACAGAGAGACAGACAGACAGAGAGAGAGAGAGAGAGAGAGAGAGAGAGAGAGAGGGAGAAGAGAGGCTCGTAGGCGCCCTCGGTTTTTGGTGCAACCCAGCAACAATAACAATAGCGAATGTCCATGGTGGTCGGGAATCGCACTTTCACGTTGAGAGAAAAAAGACGCATATCCGCCCACAGGTTGGCGAAGGAGTGTCTGGAAACAAACATAACCCTACGCCCCCCCCCCCGCCCCCCCCCGCCCTTTTGGGGGGTACACCCCAGCCTGCCCTGGACGCGGGAGGAAAACCCCCAAACTCCCTCCCCCCCCAAAAAAAAAAAAAATTTTCCCGGGGATCCCGCTTCCCAAAAAAAAACGGGGGCCTTCTCCCTCTTTAAAACCCCCCCCTTTTAAAGGGGGGGCAAAGGTTAAAACAAAAAAAAGACGTTTTCCCCCCCAAACAAAAATGGGGCGCCGAAAAATGGAAGAAAAATTTTTAAAATGTTTTTTTTTTTGTTTTGTCCAAGCAGGGGGGGCAATCTAGTCCAAAAACCCCCCCCCGGGGGGAGTTTTGAACTTGGCCCAAGTCCCCCCTG